CATATATATATATACCTATATATATATTCATCAGTTCTGGTGTTTCCAAAGAATTATTAATTATAATAAACGTTGTTGAGCTTTAGAGAAGGATCCTAGATCCTGAGAAAAAAATTTAATGAAGTAACATTATTATGAGCCAACATTTGCATGCCTGCTAGTTTCCTCCAACAGCCAATTTATAGATACCACATGTTAAAGGTGAGCACACATATTGATCAACTTTTCCTTGAGTTTGAGTACTGATTTTAGTAAACATTTCATAGAATGTTGTTGAACACTTAAAATTAATACTGCCAGAAGCTTTGCAGTTCACAAAATAATGTGAATTTACTTATAATCAAGTCTTCATTTCCATATAATACTTCGGAAATTATACTAAAACTTTTTATAAACAGCCGTTAGAGAGACATGTCAATGTGATCCCATACATATAATTACCTCTCTGAGGTGTTTCTAAATACGACTTGAATAAATAAATGAATGAGCGCAGAAGGGCTACTCATTTTTATTTTCTGTTTCACATCCAGCCTGTGCAATATACTCGTCATCGTACTTCGTCTTGTTTCTGTTTCACTTCTATTTCTTTCTTCTTTGTATAGACATACTATCTTTCTGATGCTTCATCTAATCATTCAATTCCTAACTGTGTTGTAACAAATTAACTGTCTTAAACAAATTCATTTCCGACAATATTTCACTAATCACAAAGTAATTTATTTACAACACCTTAGCAACTAACACTTAATTTATTTCCACTATTTGAATTTCTTGTTTAGCCGCTCGATTCACTTTCTGAACTGCCCTCTTGGGTCGGGAAGACGGGCTTATATAATGTAACGGTTCTTTCTGGAAATCTGTAGCCGATTCGTTTCTCGACTAGAGTTTTACCGGTGGTTGCCGACTGCATTCTTTCGCGGTGATGTCACGTGTTTGTTCGCTGGCCGGTATATCAATGAGGGGCGGCTTCAGATTCATTACAGTATTTGTATCATTTGTTTCAAAGACAATCATGATTCAGGGGGATCTAGAGATTCCAGTAATGTCTTCCAGCCTAATTATGATAATTTTTTTACACTTTTCAATATTTCCAATTCTTGGATACCTCGCCGTCTCTTTGTCATTTTTCATGGTACAGATTCAGCATTTGTCCCATATGATATGAAGATACATTGTTTAAGGGTTCTCTTCAGGAAGGTGGATGATACGTAAAGATTATAACTATGGTACCTTTATTATTATTAACACTATGAATATAAAAAATGACAGGAAACTAACAATATCGGATTTTTCTCAAGAACTTACCTTGGATAAGGTGAATAAGTGAACTGAGGTGTCCTTCGTCTAATACAAGGAGAAGGTGTATGCTGCGCAAGAGTTCCACCTATGTGTAATTTTCCAACAATCATCAGCCCTGAGTAAAGGGACACATTACCACTATGCTCCAGAATTGCCAACATATGCAATTGCTGAAATGACAATACAGTTTAAGATTTTTGTATCTTTGTTGAAATAGTTAAATCTCACTGATTTTCAAATATCAATTTCAGTCTATACCGATGGTACCCATTTCTTTTTCAAGCATTACATCTAAATTATTATATTTTCAAAGTTGTTTATTATTTTTGTAAAAAGTAAAACTTCTTGCTATATTTTTATTTATCAACCTTTCATTTCACTAACCGGTATTGGTACAGCATCCTTTGCACTCATGCTAGTCAACATTCCAAAGACGATATTTGGTCCTGAAAAGTCAACCTTGACTATCGACAACTGACTTCTAGAAGTCAGGATATAGCACAGGTATCGTTGACCCACAAGATCATCAATAAAAAATACTTTCGAGGCTGGAGCTGCACTATTTGGTTCCCTTAAAAGAAGATATGATAATGTATCTCCCTGTATATAAGTAGTGTCAATAAATTATATTTTCCAAATGATCTTACTGTACAGAATAATTATCAGTCCACAAGTAGTCCAGACAGATTGCAGGAGTTGATCGCAAGTACGAGACCGTTTTAGAGTAATCAAAGTAGGATTTAGAGAGATCGGAATTCATCATAACATTAAGCTTAGAGTTTGCTGTGGGCCATGGGCTGCCATAAGAAGATACAGCTGGAGACTGACATCGACTAAAAAAAAATATGCCATTTTCATTCCTAATTAAAGGATGGATTCATGTTTCAGTTTTAGTTCATATGTCACAAGTTTTAACTCATAAGACTTTGTTTTTATTGTTATTACCACTAAAAACAACTCGTGCTCATAGATATAAGACAAGGTGGGCCATGTATTAGTTTACATTTGAAAAAAAAAATAAAAATCATATGATACATTAGAAAAAAAATTCACAAAATACCTAATAAGTGCGAATTTAGATTTCAAAAATAATATCAATAATACCAATATCTAAACGAGTACAGCAATTTTCGAAAACTCTTCGGCAAAGATATCGTATTATTGTAAGACATTTTGAAAATTGAGATATAAAACTTCCTATGTTTTTTCAATACTTGTATTTGTAACTAACATTACTGCAGTTTCATCCTATATGGACAATTACAAGTGGTAAAAAAACAGGAAGTGAAACAGTGTCTTTGGCTCATGAGTGTAGATACGATTCTTCAAACATTCCTGTCAAAATAAGTCTGCTGGTGACAAATCAGGACTCCTGGGTGGCCACTGGATGTCGTCTCTTCTAAAAATCAGCTCTTCATCTAATGAGAGAGATGCGGTAAGTGTTTACACCTTGCTGCAACCTTGAATTATCATTGTAGCCAGCAAATTCCTGTAGCTGTGGTGCCAGAAACTCCTTTAACATTCTTATAGTCATTAAAGTTAACAGTGATTGTGGGACTGCAAAAATCTTTGAAGAAATAAGGCCCAATGATTTCACTACCTGAAATTGCTGCCATACATTTACTTTAGGTGAATGAAGGGACCTTTTAGATTCAGCTTTGGGGTGTTCGCTGCTCCAATATCTGCAGTTCTGTTTATGAAACACATTCATCGAGGTGGAAATTGACTTCGTTTTGTGAAATCTACTGAAGCAATTCAACATTGTTTCCACGTAAAACTTGCATAAATTAAAATCGTCAGGTTTACTTTCTGCAACATTTGGCTCTTATATGAGTGTAATTTTGAATCTAATTCTAAAATACGGCTTGAAGATGTGAGTGATACTCTTGATTTAGCCAAAAGTTTACGCGTGTCAAACTGAATTTGCTTCATATTCAGTGTCGACCCCGATTCCCCGAACTTTTCTACACATCTTTTTATTGAAGCTGTACTGGGACCCTGATTTAAATTATAGTCAACACTAAACAGGCACCTCACATTAATATGCAATCTATTTTTTAGGTGAGCAAAAGCTGCACCGTGGCCGTGTAAACCGATGCATTATAACTAAATTTCCGAGAAACAAGCTAGCAACTACACCCCACCCCACTTGTTTTTGCGCGGGAAATTAGATTTTTAACAGTTCATGGCACACCCAATATAAGCATGAATGTTACCACTGAGAATTAATGGTCATGATTTCTTACGACTTGCGACTTAAGACTGAGTGCATGAATATTATGACATATGTTCCTTTATTTTGTCGTACCTCACCACCGCCATAGAACTCTGGGATCTCGCATATGCCGGTCCTAAATTAGACCCTTTACTTACTGGACTTGGAGTAGGTTGATTCCTAGTATTCACTACATTTTCCCACATAGATAGACGAGATTTCAACTGAAAAATTTAAATACCTAGTTATTCAGAATTTTTTATTGTTATTCATTAATTTTTCAGTTATAATTGATATATGTGATGGAATTGACTGATATCTCATGAACACTTTATTGTGAGATTTGCATTAAACAGTTTACAAAACCGCAACATGTGTTTCACTATACAATGGTTTCCTCAGGCTTGTTCATAAAGTATGTAAATTAGCAATAAGGATAATTTGCTGCTCACACTAAAGTCTATCCAAATCCAAGATAGAGTGGATGTAAACATTGACATGCCCTACTCATGTGATATTGAAAATCCCAAGAATTGGCCAGGGTCGTATTCAGAACCAACATCTTATTGATCGCAAATGCTATATCATACTTAGGAAAACTTTTTTATAATAAC